GAAAAATAAAGGAAAGTAGGGAAAGATCTCACCAAATGCTGCTTGAAATAGAACACAAGGCAAAATTGCGATCTCACCAAGGTTTCCGGAGCTTGAGTTGCTCCTTATCCCATCATTTTGTGCTTCCGTTTTCAAGCTACAAGGAAAGTGAGCCAAAAGAAAAGAAACACTACAACTATACAAAGAAAAGTTAGTGAACAAAAGGAAAAGACTAGAATTATAAACAAAAGAAAATGATTGACAAAAAGCTATCTACAAAATTTGGATTAAGGGATTTGGATTTTGGGATTTGGATTTTGAGATTTGGATTTTGGGATTTGGATTTTGAGATTTGGATGTATTTTGATTAGAAGAACCTCTATTATTATTGTTGTTCCAATTGTTCCGATTATTAGAGTTTCCCCCTTGGTGAAATTGCCCTTGATTCCCATAGTTTCCTTGATTATTATGATTATGGTTACCATAACCACCTTGTTGGTTGTAGTTACCTTGGGGATTTTGGTCCCTTTGGTTCCTACTTCCCCATTGATTTTGATTATGGTAATCGTAATCATTTCCTCTTTGGTTATAGGAATTCCCCCCTTGTTCTCTTCTATTTGGTGGTAAGTATCTTTGATTGTCATTCCTATGTCTATTATCATAAGACAAGGCATTGACTTGTTCATTTTCATTTTCATTACCATCTTCGTATTGGGGTTGGGTTTGGAAATCATAATTACAAGAAGAGGTATCATGGTCATAAGACCCACAATTTTCACAAAACAAACATCCATGAGGCATGTTATTAGAAGTAGAGGGAGAAGAGTTAGAATTCATACCTCTCCCCTTAGATTGGGAGGGATGCTCTTGTGTTGAACTAGAGGTCTCTAGTTTTGCCTTAAAGGACGTCATCTCCTTTCCAAGGTTGGCGATTTGGGAGGTCAAATTGTTGATGGCATTAAGGTGATCAACGGAGTAAACCGCATTTCCTCCCTTGTTTAGAGAATCTCTCTCTCCTTCTTGCCAATCCATGTGGTGCCTCACCACATCCTCAATTATCTCTATGACTTGCTCCTCCGTCTTGTTCATAATCGGGCCACCCGCTCCTGCATCCAAGCTAGTCTTTCCTTGTGGGCTCAAGCCCCCATAGAAAATTTGAAGCACTTGATATGACGGAATGCCATGATGAGGGCACTCCCTTTGATATTCCTTGTATCGTTCCCATGCTTCATAAATGGTTTCACTAGCTTTTTGACGGACCTTGGATCAAAGCTCTTGCCTCGGCCGTCTTCTTTTGGGAATGGAATCTTCCTAAGAAAGCCGTGGTGACCTCGTCCCAAGTTCTCAAGGAGTTAGGCCTCACCTCCTTCTCAAGCCATTCAAGAGCTCTTCCTATCAAAGAAAAAGGAAACAACTTTAGTCTCACAAACTCTTGAGTTACCCCATTTACCTTGATCGTGTTACAATATTTTTCGAACTCGTTCAAGTGTGCAAGAGGGCTCTCATGTTTTGCTCCACTATATTGCCTCCTTTCAATCAAATTAATCATTGCGGGCCGAATCTCGAAGTCATTGGCTTGAGTAACGGGTGGAGAAATGCCGCTTAAAGCTCTATAAGCTCCCGGAGTTCCCAACTCCTTTAAAGGTCTTTGAGGTGGTGGTTCCGCGTCACCCATTTGATCTCGATCCTCCTCGAAATTGGTCTCTCTAGCTGGGGGAGTAGTAAACGGCCTAGAACCGGCTCTTTTTCTCCTTCTATAAGTTTGCTCAATCTCGGGATCGTAAGGTACCAAGATCCTGTTATGAGTTCTGTGCATACACTCTCAACAAACGCAATTAGTACCAAGGCTACAAGTGTAGCCAAAAAGAGACAATCTTTTTGAAATTTTTTTTATGGTGAACTAGACTCAAGTAATCAATTAGCTATCAACAACATCGTTCCCCTGCAACGGCGCCATTTTGATGGGCGTTAGAACGGTCGTACATTCCACACTCAATCAAACACATTTATTAACAAACACCTTACAAACCAAGCATAATGACAAGTAAGAGTTCGGTCCACAAGGAACAGGATATGATTGCCAAAGATCTTTACACTTAAGCTAACTCGAAGTCAATTGGTGAATTGGGGTTCGTCAAGAAGACAAACAAACTATGGTTCTAAATCAATGAATTAAAGATACTAGGGAATGAGATCCACTCAACCAAGGCAAATAGGCAAACGGGGAGTAAAATAGACAAGATATAGCAAGGACTATATGTAAAATCAACCTCATGCAATTAGAAAACAACTCACACTACTAAACTTAGATTCCTCATTAGTTTAGCAATAGATGATACATAATCAAATTACAATAAGTAATGACGTACTCAATTTACACTTCCATGTCAAATTAGGCATATCATACTATCAAGCTCCTTAGTCAAGGGTAGCTAAACCTATCATGAGGAACTAACAAGCAATCTCATATAATCAATTTAATTGCAATACAAACATCAATGCTTCTCCCACATTTGCATAGTTAACCCAAAAGGTCGAGCTTCACCCAACCCCTAGCAAGAAGACTACTCACAACTCATGTTATCAACATGCAATCAAGAATTAGGGTTCTAAATACTTCAATAATTGGGGAAAAGTGGTTAACAATTGAAATAACTATCATCCAATAACAAATTACCAAGAACTAAGAAGATTTAAATAACATGCAAATACCAAATAAAATCTGAAATTAAAAGGAAGAAGGTTGGAAATTACTAATTGAAGCTTCAAATGTTGAATACAAATTGCCAAACTTTGAGAATAATTCTTGAATTTCACTAATACAATGATTTGATTTGATGAAAACTAAGCTAAATTAATCCTAAGGAATGTTTCAAACTAAGAGAGGTTTCTGAAAACTAGGCTACTGTCCTTCTTCTCTTCTTTTTTTTAAACGATCTCAAAAGGACCTTAAATAGTCCGTACAAAATTGGCTGAGATCGGGAAAAGGTCCGACCGAACTCTGGGTAGGTTCGGTCGGACTCAGGGTAGGTTCGGTCGAACCCTGTGTAGGTTCGGTCGAACCTCCCTGATCCTTGTTTGGTCGAACTTTTGAGGTTCGACCTCTCCTGCAAAATTGCTGAAAACTGGTTTGACACCGCCTTCACTGCACCCTGGAGGTTCGGTCAAACTTTTCAAAAGTTTGACCACACCAAGGTTCGACCGGACCTTTCAGAGGTTCGGCCACACCTCCTCTTGCACTTCCTTTTCTTGCTTCCTCTCCTTCCCTTTTGCTCCTCTTGCCTTTGTCCATGGCTTCCATACTTGGCCAAGGGGCCTCCCACCGTGCATAGGACTGTCACGGAACCTGCAGAAGATACCAAAGTTCACGAGAGCATGGGGATGATAAAATAATGCATAAAGATTATCAAAATAAGCGCAAATAAGCATTACTTTTCATCAACACAAAAAGAAGCCATAAGAGGATAATGAGGTGGAAAAACCTAAGAAAAATAAGAGGAAAAAAAACCTAAATACTACCCCTAAGAGTGACATAAATGTCACTCATCAGTTTCCGAACCATTGTTGTGCTATTCCTTTGAGAGTTGCTGGGAAACACTTGCACCAAGTGGGATCATCCAACCCTTGAAGGTACATTAGGTTGGTGAACGCCATCAAATGATCCTCAGGGTTAGTAGTGCCATCATAGGCGCCTACTAGCACATTCTTAACTTTGGCCGGTTGGGCGGCCTCTGTAATTTCCTTGGAGAAGGCGGACGACTGTTCTCCAAGTCTTAGCAACCGTAGTTGCCAGTCCAAAGGTTGGACGCTTTTTGCCGCCTGTCCTCCAAACAAAGGAGGCTGCAAAAAGTATTGTTGTTGCGGTACGTATGGCATGTTTGGTACCTCATGTTCTTTATGAAATCCAGACCGACGGGAGGTACCGCCTGTCTGACTCTCATAATTTGACTGAGTATACCTCATAGAGGTATTGTGCAGACTATCTTGGAAATCTGAAGTGGAGGCCGACTCTGACAGTCGGTCATTCTTCTTTTGCTCTAGCAACAGTCGAGCATCTGAGTATGTTTTCTTTGACCCATCTGCTTATACATGACGAATGGGCTTTCTCTTCCCTGGTGAGGGAAAACGATACTTTGTTAAGTCGATCACAGGCGACTCCCACTTTCTAGAGTTAGGGTGGGGGGTCGCCTCTCGACCTTGTACAGGCTTCCTTCTTCCTGACTGAGAAGGTTTTCTAACCGACTGCTCCTTGGAGGTAGCAAGCGTCTTCTTATTAATCAATTCTTGGATCTCTCCCTTGAACCCCCTCATGAAAGTCATGAGTTCATTTCTTGTAATAGGAGCAGATCCTTCAGCCGCCTGTTGCTGATCAGGCGGTGAGCCGGCTGGATTACTGGGTCCAGCTTGGTAATCTACCCGTTCTTTCCTTTCGGTGTGACGGGTGCGTCGGGCCCTTAGGGTCCCGTCTGAGGCCGTGTGTGCTTCAACCTCGACCTCATTCTCTGTATCTTGGTCTGAGTAGACTTGAGGGTCGTCCACTGGATGTCTCTCTTCTGGATTCGGTACAGACTTTGATGCCATCTCGAAAGTACTCTCCCCACAGACGGCGCCAAAATGTTTCGGGGTTTTCTGGTGTCCTGCGAGAGAGTTACAATTTCGGGATTGGAACCGTGCGCCTGTACCTGCAAAACAACGGAGACTCCGGGTGGTGGGAGCTCCACCTCCGACGATCAAGTTAGTACTTGCTTTAGGAGTAATAAATGCGGAAAAAAGGTAAAGTGTGTTCTCTCGGAGAGAGTAATTAATTGGCTTCACCCCCTTTAATGAGGATTAATGAGGGTATTTATATGCCTTGGGATGCGTGCGTGTCTTAGGTTTAGGTCAACCTAGGACCGATTGGGCTTCCACAAGACGTTGGGCCTAGGTGGCCGGTTTGTCCATTTGGCATGGGGGAGGACACGTGTCATGTCGTAACTGGTCCATGGTGGACTGATCAGCACCTATTGCGTGGCAGGCTCCTATTGGCCCGTGCGGCGGACACATGACAGAACCTGATTGGTCCACTTGTCAGATGGTGATTGGTAGGGAAAAATTCCCTAATCAGTACTCTATGGGTTGTTTTCCCTTCCTAGCTCTTTAAAGTTCCCCCTCAAGTCTTGCTTTATCCACTTTTAGTTCTTCTAAATCAGACTTTAATTTTTCAAAATTTGGATATTGATCAAGAAGAGGAACTTTAGAGTTAGGGGTAGCACCACTCAATTCAATAAGGAGGGTTCCACGTTCATAAGTATGTTATCATGTGTTAGACGTTCAACGGTTTCTTTTAACTTCACATTATCGTCAAACAAGTAAAAGAATCTTTGTTGAAAATCAAGTTTCATCTTATCTATCCATTTACTGTGTTCTTTGTAAGTTTTAAGTGCATTGTCACTTTATGCTTTTTCAACATAAAGATCCATTAAATCACCTTGAACTTCCAAAACAGCGTCAATCAGTTTTTCTTTAGAGAAATGTATTAATTCATTAGAAGTAAACCATACCTCAGCCTCTAGCTCCTTTAACCTTTTCATCTGTTTTGGCCATCAGATACAAGTGTGCTGATTCTTCTGAGGGTTATTGTTCTTCTTCTTCTAAATCCGAGTCTCCCTAGCTAGGAAACTGTCATAGCCTTTCTCACATTCTCCTTTGAGAAGGATGGCTTGTACGCTTTGGAATCCTTAGCTTGGTCCGTGCCTTTGAACTTTGATTGATCAGTTTCCTTCAGAGGACAGCCTCTAATAAAGTGATCTTTTGAACCACACTTGAAACAGGTAGTCTCTTTGGAACTTGAGAATTTCTTGTTCTTGTTAAACATCCTATTACCCATCATCTGCTTGAATCTTCTCACTAACATGGCCATCTCATCTTCATCAACTTCAGATTCATCTGAGTCTTGGGCTTTCAGAGCAAGACTCTTGTTCTTAGAACTTTTTGCATTGGAACCTAAGTGAAGTTCATGAGTCATTAAAGATCCAGCCAGCTGTTCCATGTTGAACTTTGTGAAGTCCTTGGTTTCTTGCAATGCATACACCTTAGATCTCCTACGTTCATCTTGAGGAACACCTTTCTATCCTGTTTATCTATAGGAATATACCTGTCAAGGGAACCCAGCTCATTGATTATATCATTATATCTACTAAACATTTCTTCTATGGTTTCCTTAGGTAGCATTTCAAATCTTTCATATTTAGACATCAATAAATCAATCTTGGAATGTTTTACCTCGTTTGTACCTTCATGAGTAACTTCCAGTAGATCCCATATTTTCTTAACAGACTTGCATCCCATGATTCTGTTGTGCTCATAGGGTCCAAGTCCACAGTGCAACAATTAAATAGCTAAAGCATTTAATTCATATTTTTGAAAATCCTATTTTTCAAAATCAGATAACGGTTTAGGAACTACCTTTTTTTTCTCATTAGTTTTGGTTACCTCAAAATCACCAGACTTAATAACGCGCCAACCCTGGTAATTTTCAGCCTTGATGAATATCTACATCCTGTTCTTCTAGTAGGTATAGAACTTACCATTGAACATAGGTGGACGTTGGGTAGAGTACCCTTCTTCAAGCTTCTCTCGATAGTTCATCTCTCCTCAGGAACTTACTTAGCAAAGTTATTTTCTTCAACACGAGAACCAAAGCTCTGATACCAATTGTTAGTTGAGACGAACAGTACAAGAGGGGGTTAAATTGTATGTGAGTTCCTATTGACTACTTTTGCGGAATTAAAATAGAATATAAAGGAACTTAGCAAAGCACACAAGATTTTACGAGGAAACCTTCCAGGGCCCAACTAGAAGTAAAACCTCGACCCTCCAAGGGATTTCAAACACCAAAACACTTCACTATAATAGGGAAAACTCTCCTAGTTACAACCTATTTTAATCAGACCTTTCTCACAAGTTCCTAACTGAACTTACTACACAATAGGACCCTATCCTACCCAATCCCAGACTTAGATTCAACTCGACACTCCCTGAATGTCTACTCACTCAGCTTCAACCTAGAAGCTTACAATCTGTATGCAATAAGCTAAACACTCACCCAAACCAAAACAATACAAACTCTTTTACTCTAATATGTGATAGGAAAGCTACACATGGAATCCAAAACTAATATGACAAAGTTTAGACTTAGCAAACTTACATTTAAACGCTCTCTTCAGATTCTTCACGCATAAACTCACGAGTTGTGTAAATTATGAAGTCTACTTTATATACAAGAAGTACTTATATGTAAAGTAGGATTTTCAAAAAGATAGAAATTATAAAACTACCAATTTCATAAAACACGTTTTATGTAAATCTTTTGTAAAGAAAATCTATTTTGAAAATTTATCAAAGATATAATTTATGAAAAGAATAATATCATGTAAAACGAGATTCTATAAAATCTTTTTAGAAAATCTTTTTCATAAATTGAAAACTTATCTTTTATAAACTTTCCATTTTTAAGCTTGCCAAGCTTTGTCACGCCTCTAATAAATTCCATGCATAAACTAACCTAACATATTTACAATAATCCATAGATAAATAAACTTAACAAAAAGACTTACATTATTCTCTAGTTAGATTATCTCATCAATCGTTGTACGTTAAGGATACTTGGGCTTTACGCAAACCAGGATTGAGTTCCTGCTGTCCTTCACTCTCCAGCTCCTTGCTTGAACTTCGCAGGCCAAGTTCTTATGGAACTTGCTGTCTTCAACGTAGACCAAGTCAATCTTCTCAACTTGTTATCAAGCTCCTGTTTGAGAGCTTCTTATCATGTTCCCGTTAAGGAACTCAGTTAGTTCCAGTGAGGAACTCTTCTTCTACTTTCTTTAACTTTCCTTGGATTCTACTTGTGTCTCCATAGACAGATTACTCTTCCACTTCCAAAGACGACTTCATCTGTTCTACTTATTACAACACTTAGAAAAATCACATTAGTTGAAGTTTGCTTTTATTCATCATCATCAAAACTCTTAAGCTTCAATATATATATATATATATATATATATATATATATATATATATATATATATATATATATATATATATATATATATATATATATATATATATATGTGTATATGTATGTATATATATATATATATAAATACAAATCCTTCTTCCAAACATCATATGAATCCATTAAACATCACATAAATCAAATCCTTAATATAAACATCATACTAATAGAATATCTATGTTGTCCAAATCTCCTTTTTCTTCATCAACACCCTTTCTATATATTTCTTGTTCTTCCCTTTGTTATCTTTGTTTTATTTTGATTCCTAAAATATTAATGAAGTTAAAGATTTAGTTGAAGGTTGTAAAAAAAAATCATTATATTTTATATGAAAAAAAAACATAATTCTTACTTTTTTTTTGTCTTTAATTCCCATTCTTCAACATTTGCAAGTAGTTTGGTTTGCATTTGAATTTCTTCATTGAGAAGAATTATAAGCAGTGTTTTTACATGATGGTGTTTCAATCTTTTAATTTCTTGGATAAAAAACCAAAGAGAAACAAAAAGCTCACAAAACTTAAGACAATGCTTCTAGTAATGCATATATAAATTTTTAAACCTTATAAAATTAGGAATGTCAACTCACATCTTTGATAGATCCCAATCCTAATCCATTTATACCATCATAAGCCTTCATGTGCGGAAATAGATAGCTTCCAGAGTAATTGTCTTGCCTTGATTTTAGAAAAGGAAGTTCTATTAATCCCAGATTAAAGTTCAACATTTCTTCTGCTTTTGGATGCTTTCTTTTCTTCAAAAATTTTGGAATTTGAAATACCTGCAACATATATATTGTTATTAGATAACATTGAAACAGAATTACTGGCAAAAATTTAACTTATATTATTGTGCTTACTATCTCTGTTATAAAACAGAGCAAAAGTAGAAATAAATCCACATTCCTTACTCCCCCAATACCCTACTTTTTCCCTCCCCTGCTACTACTCATTATCGTACACCCCACCAATTGCTTAACCTGCACTACACAACATCACCACTTACACACACCATTCCATGCTCCCTTTTGTTGTCGTTTCAAACCAGCCACTAACGGACCCTGACCATAAAAATGGGACTTTTCTTCCTTCATTTTACAATAAGCACCATCCATGAAAACCACTCCTGTTAACCAACATAATATAATTGACAGTTATCTACACAGTGATAACTAAGGCTGGAATTAAACTAACAATTGTATGTGGCTAGAAAGAAGACATGAACTGGTATATATACGAAGATTGGTAGAGTTGGTAAAATCATGTAATTACTACTCCATATGCTTTGTAATATTAATCAGAAAAGATGTAACTACTATTGTGCTTATTGTCTCTTTAATAAAATTCTTGATTGATACCCATTCAGTAGTATCCTCGTACTCTGTGATGTCCAGGTAATCAACTGTTTCATTTTTTAAGTTTATGATTGCAACAAAATAATGATCTTCCATCTTCAAAGGAAGAATTATCTGTAAAACAAATTATTTATTCTTTAGATTTAAAGAATTCTTTATTTACTTTTAAGCTATTTTCTTTAACTTTAAACAATGATTTATTTACTTTAAAAAGGTTCTCTTTAACTTACAAATTCAGCTGCATCCAAGTCCAATGCTTGAGTTTTTGTCCATTCTTCCCATATCTTTTGAAGTGTGGTCACTCCCCTTTTCCCATTTGCTCTCAAACAAACAGATAATGCTTCCTGCATTTTTTTCCAAACAAATTTTGTATATTTATATATTTTGTATTTTTGTATTGTAAACATGAAGTTAAATTCAAAGTATTATTGTATTTTTGTATCATTTACCATGAAGTCAAATCTAAAGTAGAAGATTCTCGGGCCTTTCTCTCTCTTTTTCATAACAGTGATCAAATTATTTATAACTTTCCATTCATCCAGCAATGAATTACAATCCTCTCTTGTTAGTTCAATTGATTCACCAAACCAACCTACAACTTCACTGTAATGTGTTTATCATTAGAATAATTTTATTTGCAAATATGAAGAAAACAAATTGAAATAATTACATACTTGTTGTTAAGTAAGTTGTCATAATTGATAGTGACATAGTTAATCACTTTGTAAAACTTCAAGCTCATGTTTTCCATACAATCCTTGTTTTCTTTCAAGAAATCTGACACATATATCATTTCCTTCAACTCTAAAAACTCATATTCCACATCAAGTTTTTTGGTTACTTTGAAAACTTACCAAATCAACCCCCATAAACTGGTCTTTTACATTGCACAATTGGAGCCAATCTAACCAAGTTTGGCTTAGTCCAGCCAAAACTGATTTAGGAGAACGATCTTTAGCCTCTTGAGAAGTTTTCTGAGACGCGAGAGAAATCTTTAGTGGTCTCTGCATATTCATGAAAACACAAAACACATCATATATTTAGTATATATTATGTATGTATTCTATTCTTTATTCATTGTATAACTTACATTGTGGTCAATCCCAAAAAATAAGCATGATGGTTTGGCCATCAAACTTGATTTATTCATTAAAAATGACCATGCTTGAACAATGCTTGAATTTATCAATTGATTAGGGACTGTTGGTGCTAAAGTTATCATATCATCCCTTGGTATTGCAATTGGAGCTTCAAATGCTATAAGTTGTTCACTGTATAATTAAACAAAAACAAGTTGTTTTATTAATATTTATAAAGTAAAAGGAATTTGAAATAAAGTAAATAAAACAATGCTAAAAGTAAAAGAATAATATTACCTTTTCATTGATTTGTTTTTCAGAAAACAATAGTCAGCCACCACTTGATGCAATTCTGGTATTTCTTGCATTCTGCTTTTGTTGCTCTTTATACACTTGCATACATATTCACTGCAGTTCCTGTTTTCCCACAATTCACAGAACATTGAATCTTAGAAGCAAATTCGTTCAAAAAGTTGAATGTTTTTTCTGATGCCTGGTTTGTAATATTTGCATCAACAGCTACACACAGATCACTTTTGATAAATGGTACTATTTACTTTTAATGTTAATTTGTTTACTTTGCAGTCTATTTTATTTATTTTTTTGTTTATCATTTACTAAACATTATTATTACTACTACTACTACTGTCTTTACTTAAAATCTACGTTTCACTTAACAACTATGAATATAATATAGGAGCAGAACAAATAAATATAAAATATGAAATTGTGTTTATTAAAATTTAAATATAAGATAGAAATATACGCACATCATGTGCAACCTCATGTATCTCACTGTTTGTCATCACACCATCTGGAAGTTTGAAAGAGACTAATATTTTCTCTCTGTAAGCAAAATTCTTGGATGCAGTCTCAATAACATCACTTAAGTATGATTGTTGACCTCCTTTTCTACAAACTAGATATACATCTTTTAGGATTTCTCCTTGACCAAATGATGCTTTTGCTTCACTTGCAATTCTTTTTCTTACTTTCTTATCTGTCCAATATCTTATCAAGGGTAATGTTGTTGGTTCAAGCTGCCCTCTAAATGAAAAGTGATGAAAGTACGCAATTTGAAGAAATCAGGACACATCCACTTATTCTTGATCTTGATTCCTTATGCTTGTTTTTCTTGAAACTTCAAACTGCTTTGCACAAGTTATTGAGTACATAACCACACCAATCTAGGTTACGTATTTCTTTTACACTGTTTGCATAGTTACATTGATTATCTTGTAATCTATCACTGTGTTTGCAATAGGGGCCAAGAATGTGCTGCAAACATAAATCATAAAGAACCTTTTAAAATCATCACCTCCTTCCTGTAGAGACTTTATTTTGTTCTCCAAATTTTTCACAAAAATGTCATCTTTTTCTACAATTCCTAGCTTCTTCTTCCACTCATTCTGAATTGTGATGTTTGCTAAAGGTTGCTTCCTTAATTGATAAGTCAACTTGTTCTCAGTTAAATTTGGAAGCAAGAAAACATCTTGAACATCATAGGAGGTTACAAAGAACTCCTTGAGCATATCAATTTTGAACATACAACTATTTTCATTGAAATGATGACAAAGCCATGGAAGCATCTTTGTTAGAACTTGTGTCAGTTTTAGTTCAAGTAAACCTTCAAATCCAATACTTATAACATCTAATTTCTGTCTTTCACTGAATGTCTTGATAATATCGAATACTGCATTAGGTCTACAGTGTGTTTTCTTGATGTCCAGATCACCATCATCATTGTTACTTCCATCTTCTACGTCTATAACTTCTTGTACCTCCTTATCTAAATTGTTAAGCTTCATTTTCTTTTTTTAAATGAGCTTTTGTATTTTTCTTGTCTTCTTCTGATGATCCATCAGATTCTTCATTGTTATCTGCTTTTGGTTCATAATTGCTATCTTTACCTTCAGCTTTTGTTCTTTTTTTTTCCCCTATATTTTGTTAAACTAGAAGATATTAAACATTTACTTTTAAAATTAAAACATTCAAGAACAAACAACCTAATTCACAACATATCAATCTAACTTTAGCACCTAATACAATAAAATTTTATAAACCTTTTGAAGGTTGAAGTTCCTTAAGCTTTCTCTTTATTAATATTTGCTTTTTTGAAATCCTTTGAAGTTTAGCACCTAATACAGTTAAGTTTAACAATGAGTTTATGTTAATACAATTAGTATATAAACACAAAACCATGTTAAATAACTTTAAAAACATATATATTTACTTAAAAAGCATTTCTATTTACTTTATTAAAGTTATCATTTACTTTTTATATTCAATCATTTAATTGTATGCATCATAATATTTATATTGATAGCATAGACTTATAAAGGCAAATGGTTTACTTTATAACTGTTTCTATTTACTTTATAAATTTTCTATTTACTTTATAAATTGCATCTTTTACTTTAAAATAATATACCTTTAATTAAATATTTCTTTGAATCTGCAGGTTTCTTTGGAGATATCTTCTTTGCTTTAGGAGCTTCCTTTGTTGCAGAAGCTTTTTTTCCTACAGGATCTTCCCTTTGAGGTTTCTTTGTATTTGGAGGTTTCTTTTTATCTCCAACAGGTTTCTTTAGAGATTTTTTGGTTGCTGCAGCAGGTTTTATTGGAGGTTTATTTGCAACATTTTTCTTTGGACTTTTCGTCATTTTAATCATCATGCAATTCAAAACATAAATGAAACATGCTTTTTGATATATAATTTTAAGATGCCAAAAGTAAAATTAAGTAAAATTTAAACTTATAATATAGATTGATGGTTTTTTTTTGTTTACGGATTTATACTTCAAGACTTAAAATACAGAGTGATAAAATATTAAACTAGCAAGGTGTTTTGTTTGAATCATGCTGCCTGACATATACTTTCAGATCAATTCTTGTAATTATAATAACAACAACAAATGGTTTCTATATATGCAACATTACGAAACAAAAAATCCATCCTCATTTCAACCACATCAATTTCTTTATATATACAAAGCCATTATAGCTACAGATCATACATTAATTGTTTAACTTTTAATCAATTTAAAGTTACTTTTAGCCAATTTCTATCAACTTGTATTTAAAACCATTCAAAATCAAAGAAAACTACCGAAAATTACAAAAAACTACTCCAAATTAATGAAAGTAAGATAAAAATTAGTAATCGCTTAACTTCAAACAAATTATACAGTATTTTATTGACTTTTAATTATTTTATATCAACTTTTATCTAATTTCTTTTAGCTATTATAAAAAAATTACTCAAAAATTAACTAAAATGACTCAAAACTTACTCAAAATTAGTCGCAATAGAACCAAAATTATTCAAATTCGTAAAAATAAATAGATCTAAATTTTTACCAATATTCGTAAAAACAAAGCTGATTTAAATTTATACCAAATTTCGTAAAAAAAAAAAAAAAAAATTTTAAAAAAAAGAACTGATCTAAATTTATAACAAAATTTGTAAATAGTTAAATAAATAAAACCTTTGATTCAACTTCTAACCAATTTTAAACTAAATTACAACAAATTTAACCAAAAATTAAAAGTAAATCAAATTAAATTAGAGCAAAAACAAAAAAAAAAATCAAAAAATACTTGAATATCAAGCAAATTAAACTTTGAAACACAGAAATAGAACTTCGATTTAACTTCTGCTACTTCAAATTCAACGAATTCAAACAAAAAAACAGAAAAATAAGTAAGAAATTGAAACAAAATTAAATGAAAGAGTATGAACATCAAAGTTTCGAAGTAATACCTAATATTCGCCAATTTTTGCTAATTTTTGACAATTTTTGTTTCGAAACTGAAGAAATGTAGATAATAGAACTTGAATTGTTCTGATATAGCATAATTAAACAATTGAAATTGGCAGTTATGGCGGTTTTTCGAAGATTTTGAGCGGTTTTTCGAAGGTTTTTGAGAGATTTTGAAGAGAGAGAAAATGGTGGAGGAGAGAGAGAAGAGACAGAAAATGGAGCTTAACTTTGCGTGTTCATTTAATTTGTCTCAACAAATTTGGGCCGTTAGATCATGCGTCTTTTGTGTTAGATCTAACGGTCAAAATTGGTTCTTAGTTTCTATTATTCGGCTAGTTCTCACCTTAACTAGGTTATATATATAATTGAGATAATGTGAGAACCAAGGTGGATAATAGGAACTAGGAACTCATCCTAACCCTTAAATCTATTTGATCAGGCAATTTACATCACACCCGCCTCATTAAGGGTAAACTGGTAATTTTGAGCTTTGAATGACTACCTTTAATCTAACCCGATTTTATTTTCATTTTTTCTCTCTTCGTACAGTTTCTCTCTCTACATATTAATTCCCTCTCTTCAGCGATATTGCTGCGTTCTTTCTAATGGTTTCGACAGCCGATTTTATTTGCTTTTCGTTGCATCTTAATTCTTAACAAGTAAGCTTTTTTATTGTGTTTTTTTTTTTTTTTTGTTATTTTTGTTCATTTAGTTTTAAATTTTTTCGTTTTTGAATGATTTCGAGTTTGAAATTAGGAATTTTAGCTATTTTAAGTTTTAGCAATTTGCAATTTCGCTTAATTTGGGTTTTGTTTATTTTATATATTCTCTTCAAATTAGTGTATTGTTGATGCTTAATTGTTAATTTAATATTCATGATAATTTATAAGGTTTTCAGTTTATTAGGGTTTAATATAGTATTATTGTAAATTTTGAAAGATGTATGGGTTTCGATTAGTGTTTGTTCTTAATTTTAGTGTTTGTCCTTAATCTTGAATACGAATATGAATATCAGAAAGGTTGTTGGATTTTATTTAATGCTTGAATTTTTTGCACGCCAAGTGTTCGATGAAATGCCCGACTTAAAGGAATGAATGTAATGCTAGTTTGCTAACAAGCTACTAAATGATCGTTATAGGACTTGTTGTGATATGGTTTGTTTTTTTTTTTTTTTTCAAAAATTTGCTATATGACAAGCTCTTAAGTGTTGTGGGAAAGCAATTGATACATAGTATTTGAACTACTTTTGATTTGTCTTTGGCTTCTAATATTTTCTTAAAAAAGTTGTTAGTTTTCTTGGTTTTTGTATTATTTGAATACTTGACAGCTTGAGATGCTTGTTCTTGGCTTAAAATTGTTCTGTCGTGGTGATCTTTACTCCCTTTATTTTGGGATGTAACTAAACTTATTTTCTTGATTTTTCATTTTTATGCTCTTTTCATTATCGGATGATCAAGTCTACTTTAATTCAATAATTACTACTGCAATTTCTTTTAGTTTACCACTTTAAGAAAATGCAACCCCTGCCAGCCCTGCTTCAGAAGTTAAATGTCTTAATGGCTGAGGAATGTAAGTACCCTACCATCTTTTTCATGCATTGCATAGTCTAAATTATGAAGCTTAATCCTGCTTAATTTATGTAATATCAAGGACAACTTCAAAAATACTTGATGTATCTCACTGTAATTATTGACGCTCAACCTCATATAGCAATAGAAAACAGTACTTACCCAAGTTTGCTTAACTGACTATGCTCGTGTATAGAACATTACATGTATGTAGCCCACGTTTTTCCATTAAATAATGCAAGGAGCATCATGCAAAAAAAAAGCTGTTGCAATGGCTACACAACAAGGTTTCTATCCTAGGATGCCTACACTAGTTCAATAATCCACCTTAGATGCAGAAGCTACAACATCAACCAACAATGAACAGAACATATACTCTGTAATTTTTTACTTACTTTTTGAGGTTTTTTTTATTTACTTTTGAGTTATTTAGCTTTACTTTGAATGGATAAATGAGTAATCGAGATTGTAAATTTTGAATTTCTTTCTATTGGAATAGTATCTTATGTATGTTGGTCTATTTGTCTAGCTATTTCAGCACTTTGAAATGATCCAAAGTTCCAAACCCCTCATGATGATTTTGCTACGTATACTGTATAGATGTTTTTATGTACTTTTGATATTTTTTCCTTTACTTTTGATATTTTTTCATTTATTTTTGAGGTTTTTTTTTTAAAAAAAAAATCGTATGTGAAATATACACTAACCTACCAGCTCAACCGCTAGAGCATTGTGCAATTGCACAAAAGATGTGGGTTCAAATCCCACGTAGGTTCATTTGTGTAATCTAAAGATTAGACTTCGCATTAAAGTTTAATTTATTTGTATGTTTTACAAGATTTCTTCTTTTTTTAGTTTACTTTTGATATAGTTTTATTTACTTCTAATAAGAAAACCTCTACATTGAACTCAATATACTTGTTTCTTATAACTTCATCCATCTTGTAAAGATATGAAAGTCAACGACTTAGAGTTTATGTGTTATAACAAAGTTTTTAGTCATTTATCATTTTGAGCTAATTTGAAAACATAAGCTTTGATCTCCATATTTACTTATTATGATTTACTTTAGAGATGTTTTGGTTTACTTATTGAGTTTTTTTAGTTACTTCTAAAGACAACCTATGTAGGAATCGAACCTACATCTCCTATGCATATGCATAATGCTCTATACCTAGTAATAAATGGAGAAGATGTTGCCTCAATGCTATTATATCATCTTTTTTGGTCCATTACTGTCAAATATTCTGTCTATACTTGTATATTTCTAAGCATAATAAGGTATACTCTGTCTATACATGCATAAAAAGGTGTCTTGGAGCCGTTCTTGGAGCCATTTTTCTACATCAGTGGCGGGTTCTTCTCGGGAGATGGCTTAGGCTAATCAGGCTCAGGTGCTGGAGATGTATATTACCAATCTAACTCACACCAAAGTTCTTTAGCATCACAGTCTAGTTAATTAAATCATTGATAAGTACATTATCAAAAGTATATTAACTCACACCAAAGTTCTTTAGCATCAATTAGCAAAAACTCGGGATTTTATATTTAGCATTTGATTGAGCATTTAAATCGAAAAATAGGACATCATTATGTACTTTTGAATCCAATTGGTTTACTATCATTAAATTTTATCTACTTTAAGAGGATATATAAGATTATCAATAATTGTAATGCAACTAGAGATTAGGCGGTAAATCACTCCATAAACCGATTGATTATGATCTGCTCTGTCAAGGTACATACAGAGTACTACACAGAACTATCATTTCAGTTTTCTTCTCCGATAAGAGCAAATACAATTTACATTTTTCTTATTGCTCATACATTATAAATCATACGGAGTAGTTTTAGTTTTCCATGTTACTTTAAAATATAATTGGTTTACTTTTATTTGGTTTCGATCTACTTTTGAATTGAAATTGAGAAAATACCTATCAATGTAGTTTTAATAATCCCCAACAAGTCAAACAGACCTCATGACTCCAATATCCCAATTTTGCCATTACTCATTAAACACGATAGAATTCCTATTAGACCACGCACCCCACACCGAAGACACAAATATCAAAAAGTCCTCATTAGTTTACTTTAAGAGATGATTAGTATACTTTAAGAGAAATTTAGTTTACTTTTATGAGATTTATACATAATTAAATAAATTATCTAAATGAAATGTGATTAGGGGATTTTTATCCACCAAGCACCGTTTGACAAGTGGACCAACCAGGTTCCGCCACGCGTCCTCCACGGACCACTTAAGACACGCCACGTGTCCACCCATGCCAAATGGGACAACCGGCCATCAAGGCCCATTTCAGTCTAGAAGCC